CCTCTTCAATAGGGGCCAGATTAGCATGCAGCGGTTCTGTGTGGCTCATCGCTGCAGTGGTGGAGAGCTTTTGTCCCCGGTGGTAATCCGCTTGCTCTAAATACCCCAAACCTGGTATACGGTTTCAAAATAACGCTGGATTATCACCACTTTTGAGAGTGAAAAATGCCGGTCATGCCCAGCAGCCTGGTCTTTTGTTCGGAGTACGGTCTTTTGTTACAGGGCCCTGTTCGGAGACCCCGGCCACACATATAAACCATACGGCTCCGATTTCAGAGTCCCCGGCTGGTAGTGGTTAATCGTAGCACTCCTAGTCCAGAATCCTTCAAAATCCAGCAGGTTTTCGATGATTTTTGCAGGATTGAGGAAAAGTACAGCGAAGGTGCTATTTTTTTGTACAAGGGGGCTTGATCTGAATTTTCCTATGTTTTCCTGATCAGTGTAGGATATTGTAGGATTCTTGAGCATTTCCATTGAAATTTACCCAGGAGGTTATGTTTAGTCACCAGAGTGACTGCCGAAGAATTTCTTGCAAAGCTTCCTTAAACTTGCCCAAACTGTGTTTCTGCATACTGCAATGGCTGTTTGTGTCTACGAGACCGAAATTTTGGAAACAGCCATTCTCTGAGTTTTCTAAAGTCCCAACACTGCAGGAAATCCACGTTGTATCTGTGCCTAGGCCCTGGAACATCCACGAGGCCCACTGCTGGCAAGAGTTTGAACTGTGATTAAATTGTGTCGGCCATAAATGTGTTATTTTCTTTCTTTCTTTTTTACAGGCTTCAGAAGTCCCCCCTGCCCAACATCATGCAGCTTAATTTCATGATCTCCCAGGTTGCCAGCAACGACCTCTCAGTCAGCATCAAATCTTTAGCAAAGGTGAGATGGAATGAATAAGCTCCAAAGGGCAGCACCGTAGAAGATTGCCCATGTTGGTTCTTAGCAAATGCCATGAAACATTCAGGAAGTAAGGACATTGTCATAACTTCCAGGGGTAACAGATCTTCTCGCACCCAAGAATTTTTGGAACTTACAATATGTGAAGGTGTAAATCAGTGAAATAAGAAGGGAAAATTGAATTGGTTATGAAATAGCATTCGAAAAGCATATTCAAAGGTGTTTTGAGTAACCATAAGGCAGCTGACTGTGTATGCTCATCAGTGTGGCCAACACTTCTTTCCAAGGTTTTCCTTTTATTTTCCCTTTTGTAGTGTAACACGTATGTTTTGTTTCGGCTTTTGTGGGAACTTCGTGTGACCGCCTATTCAAATATTCAGTCGTCTGAAGGAAAATGTTCAATTATTTCAACTCACTCAGCCTCAATGAGCTTAGAATAGACTACAGGGTGTCTCAATGGGTCTCCTTGTTGTGTTCTGCCCAGCTCGACGAAGTCCTGAAGGAGCCGGAGCGCAACAAGATCTTGAAGGACCACGTGGACCAGCTACTGGTGGCCACGTCCTTACAGCTGCGCATGGCCTTCAGCAAGCACATGGGGGATGTTGCCTCATCCAAGGAGGTGGTCCTGATGTGCCGCTGCATGGTGGCCCTCCTCATGTCGGTGAGCATCGCACTTTAGAGCTTTCTTTTTTTTTTGTGGTTTGAAGTAGACTTCGTTGCGAATTTTGAATAGTCTTTGTTTATGAATGTTGAGTTTTTGCTTAAGAATATCACTTTTTTTGTGCTTGTGTTTAGTTGCCTTTGCCACAACGTAAAGTGTTGGCTAAATGTTTAAACGGTCTGGGAACATTTTCTAAACATTTTTCAAATTCAATGTTGATTCCCCCCCCCTTAATGCGTCTATACACCTTACTGATCATGGGCATCCATTAGCTGTTGTTCCAACTTCGACACTCCTTCCGGTTATAACGGTTCCATTGCCAGACTGTGTGGTCGAGTTCTGGTGGGTTTCTTGTTCTCACGCTCGAATGGCAGGAACACGACTCAAGAACACTGTTCTCGGAACAGGATCACACACCACCCCCTCGTCAGGGTTTCACAAGTACACACCGAAAAACTTGTGAGATTTTGATTTTTGAACAGCTGCAAACATGACAAAAAGTAGAGTGATGGCTTACAAAGCCAGAGACGATAGGACATCTTGCAAAAGTACCATTAATTATTCTCCATAACACAGAAGTGAATATTCCTGTTCAAACAGAAATGAATTCTGCCCTGTTATCCAAACATTAACTCTCAAATAATGTACATGGATGCCACCATGTCGCATGTTGTTTGTCACTAACTACCAGCGATAACCGGGTGTACATTCCCGGTATTCGAGCGGCTTACCCAAGAACAACAAATCCAGCTGTTAGTGAACATACGATAGCAAGCCGCCAGAACTCAGCCTGTGAGTGAGCATGGCTTCTTTTGAAATATTATCACTCTCGGGAACAGGATTGAAAGTGGGCGTGAGTGACTGTTATCTTGCCCCGGCTCATTCATGACTTCCTGTAGCAGACCGCACTCATGAATATTTAGATGTTCTGACTCATGAATATTGTATTTCCTCTGCCAGTTATTCCACAGTAGACCCCTGGCCCAGGAAGCCTCCAAGGATGTGCTGTGTGATCTCCTGAACGGCCTGATCACGGTGCTGCTTGATGACCGCCTCATGGCCTTCGAAGGAGGCCCTCAAGTGATGAGGTCTGTCAACGTTCTGCTTGTAAAGGTTGTGGAGAACGCCGATCACAGTAACACAATGGGGTAAGGGAAGTTTTCTCCATCTGTGATTTGTTTAAACCGTTTTCACGATTGGCTTGTCCGCCTTAAGCAGAAGCACCCCTTCATCGGTTGAATAGAGCTGTGCTGGTCGGGAGTAATAATTTTTTTGGTAGCGATGCGACTGTGATGCTTGCGCTTCCTCGTCATGTATATTAATTTTATGTATTACAATCTTTGTCATTTTAATATTTTGTGTAAGCTGTTCTTAAGTCAGCCTGCGGGCTGCTATGGACGGTCAAATAAACCATAAATGATAATAATAATATGTGAACCAACGATGTGCATTTAGTACCAAAGGAGACTCTGTTGCTAAAGAAATAGCGCCCTCACTTGGTCCAGCTCAAGGCCCATTACTGTACAGTCTTTATGGTCGAGTCCGGGCGGCCTGTTCTTGACACAGGTTTCTTGTTCTCGCGCTCAAACGGCGGCAACACGACTCAAGAATACTGTTTCGGAACAGGATCACCCACCACCTCCTCGTCAGGGTTTTACAGGAACACACGGAAAACTCGTGAGATTTTGATTTTTGAACAGCTGTAAAAAAATATACAAATGGCTTACAAAGCCGGAGACAATAAGAAGTTTTGCAAAATTTACATTGTTTTCCATAACACAGAAATGAATGTTCCTGTTCAAAAAGAAAAGAATTCATTCCAGTTATCCAAACTCTCAAATAACGTACATGTACACAAGCGCCGCTATGTTGCATGTTGCTTCTCACTAACTGCCAGCAATAACCAGTTGTACGTTCCCGGTGTTCAAGCGGCCGACCCACGAACAACAAATCGAGCTGTTAGTGAACAAACGAGAACAAGCCACCTGAACTCGGCCTATAGTTTTTGGAAATATATGTGATAGATGCTTCCACCAAAAATTAATATGTTCCTCCTTGAAATCAGGAAATGGGACTGTGTCTCAGAATTGACTGAATTTAACATTTGAAGAAAATTTTCAAAAACAAATGTTATCTAGTGTACCTGGCTAAAAAGTATAGGAAAGAAATATTGGCACACCATCCGCCCTGAGTTTGAAGTGCACCCCCAAGCAGCAAAAGAAAGACAGATGGTAGTAAGGTTTCTAAGGGGGTCTTTGCCCGCGTTCTGTGTGTGCGCAGAGACCTTACGTTAAGGAATAAATTTGTTCTCCGTGCTCAGCGTGCTCCGCTTCAAACGCGCCATTGATCTCCATTATAAATGCGTGCCTAGTGCATCTAGTACCAAAAAAACATGTCCTCTTTTGTTGTGCTCGGAGCTTATTGCCGGATACAATTAGACCACATTGAGGTGTCAGGAAACAGTTTCAGAGCATTTCTCTAAACGTGCAGCCGCTATTTACAGTGGTTTATTGCATGGTGGAAGATTTGGGGCGGACTCTGGAAGTGGGAGCTGGGGTTCATAAAAGACAGGTGGAACAGAGCTTGCTTTCTCTTTCACTCCTTGCAGTGCCCTGATCAAACTGTTGCAAGACTGTGCAGCCCGTGAAAGCAGCGCCCCGAAGTTTGTTCAACTCGTAATGAAGGTGAGTGTTTTACGTTACAATGCAAAGTACCCCAAAGGTTGCCATGTAAAGTGCAGCAAGAATATCTTTAACAAGCCACGACGGCAGAAATGACAGGGCACCAAATTCAGAGAACACTCCGAGGGGGTTGTTGTCCCTGTGTTTCCCTCCAGAGGTGTGTTCTCTGGTCCCAAGTGCTTTGTGGGTTTGTGCGCATTCCGTTGAAAATTGACTGTGCAGTTCTTAAAGGCATCCTCTGCATTCATGCATCCCCTTCTGTTTAGTGCCTGTGGCGCATGGTCCGCATGATGCCCAACATCATTGAGACGCTGAAGGTGGACCGAGTCCTGCTGGACCTGCACCAGTTCCTCAAGGCGTTCCCCTCCCACAGCTGGCGGGAAAGGGCAAGTGACACCCCGCTGCGCACCATCAAGACCATCCTGCACTCCATGGCCAAGATCCTCGGAGACAAGGTAACGTGACATTAATTCCCAGCAGGCTGGTCTTTTGTTCCGAGTACGGTCTTTTGTTACAAGGCCCTGTTCCCTTTGTCCGAGTTCGGAGACCCCGGCCACGCATATAAAGCATACGTGTCCGGATCCAGAATCCCCGGCAGGGAGTGGTTAAGAGTGGCCTAAAATATTGTTTTCCCTACTACGGTAACTCTTAACATTTCCCCTGATTTAGATTTTGAGCTACCAAACCCTGATCACGGATCCCGAGAACTCTGAGATGGACGGCTACCTGAAGAGGGTGCTCAAGAGCAACAGATTATCCCAGGGAAGCTTGTCGTCGGAGCCTGTCAATGGATCGGCTGAGCCAGAGAGAGTGAACGTGCAGGTATTGCTCAAATCCACTGACCGCCCTCTCCTGTCTGCTGCAGCATCGTTTGTGCAGTTCGTCTGTGCACTCTACGTAAACTATGGATTAATAAGAAAAATCAGTCTTGAGCGCAGACTATGCTTGGCACTCGTTCGATTGTCCACATACCAATCAAGCTCCAAGTTACGCAACAGTGAAGATTTTTTTTTTTCGAAAAATAAGATTTTTTAAGGTAAAATCACAGGATTTATGGTCACGTGAGGTTGGCAGCTTTGCAGTGCTATTTGTTTTTGTGTCGGCCTTTACAGAACGGGGCCAAGATGTCTCCCCGGAGGGCACCAACGAGAACCAACGACATCCTGGCCGAGATCTTCAAGAAAGTCGGCTCCAAGGAGAACACGAGAGAGGTGAGCTGTGGCTTGGTTGCAGTTTTCTATTTTGTTAGTGACGAGTTTGGGAATCGGAGGTTGCATCCGAATTACTTGGCTGCGGCTTGACATAACACACAACTCTGTGGGTAGTGGCTATAGCGGTTATCATAGACTCGTGTAGTTTAAAGCCGTAGGCAAGTGACGCTGAGATAGCCAGAGAACCTGTGTAATTTATTCCATGAAGCTGCTAAGCATTTCAATAAGTTAGGAGGGAAGCTCTCCGCAGCACCCCAAAAAAGCTTGTTACCTACTGAAATTTATGCGTTGCATGTGGGTTTTGGGCAGTTCCCCTCATAGTTTTGACCACCTAATGAACTTGCAAAGCATTGTTTTACTGCATATTGAGCTCAAGAAACTTGTTCCTACACTGTATCACTCACGCCAACTTCCTATCCCTGCTAAGCACTTAATTTCTGCTTGACAGCACATCTCTCCATTTTACAGAGACATTAAGCAATAAGGTTAACAGCGATGGGCATTCAACTTTCAGCTGCAGAATTAGTATTTGAATATGATGCTGCTGTGAAATAATCTTTAGAGTTTGATAAGTTTTTCTTATCGGCACAGACTTTCTACCGACATTTTGAGCAGCCACATCAAGCTGCTTTCAGATCTTAATCTCTTAATGCTACTCAGCGAAGAAATACAGCTTAGTACTAAAATATTATGTGCTGAGCAAAAATCAAGCAAGCACCAGTGACAAGAGATATCTCATGACATTCTGGTGGCGACTTTTTTTTGCTAAGAAGATAAATTATTTCTTGCTTAGCAAACTTTTGTAGTGAGCATTTTATGAAGCCAGTCCCTGGCTGCTGAGAATGATTGAGTTGCTGGTAAATAAGTGCTACCTTATTTCGTTCTTTCAGGGTTTGGCCGAGTTGTACGACTTCAAGCAGAAGTACCCTGAGGTGGACATTGACCCCTTCCTCAAGAAGACATCCCAGATATTCCAAAGCTACATCGAGCGCGGCCTGAAGAGCATCGCCGTGGAGAGACGGGAGAAGGGCCTTGTTACTGCACCGACGGTTCCCAAGCCGCAGAGCAGGGAGGAAACTGGTCAGTTCCCATGGGTACACCATATTGTCTAGCACATAGTTCTAGTCTTCAAAACCGTTGAGCCTTTTCTCAAGAACTTTTTTCAAAGATTTTCAAAAAGTTTATTTGCTTGTTTTGATAATTCATCCAACATTTTTGAAAGAACAAGGCTCTGCAGATTTTTAGCGGACTTACAAACTTATCTTCTTTCTTCCAATGAAACTGGTCTTTGTAACTTTCCTTTTTTTTCAAAATCAGAGGAGACAAGTCCTGCCACATCACCGTCCGAAGATGAGATTACCTCCGCGAATGTCCTTAGAGAACGCATCAAGGTCCTCAGAGCGCGGTGTGGCTTGGACAACGGGCCGGACGTCCCCGAGAGTCAGTTGCTGGGTGCAGACAAGACCGAGGCAACCTCCCGGAGCAGTGTGGATGACTCACTGGTCAGTAATTTTCATTTTTGTCTCTTACTGTAGAAAGTTCAAACGTGTCTACATCAATACAACTAAGTTCCACAAAACGAGGTCCAAGGTATCAAATGCGTGTTTGAACTAAGTTCCTATGTTCCAAAGAATTAAAAAGAATTTTCAGCAAAATATGGAAGATCGGAGGGAATTGAAAAGTTTTTAAATCAGTTTGTGCAAATTCAATTCAATTCAACAGTCTTGGGTGATAGAACGTTTGCAATTGAGCTTTTCAGTTTTGGAGCCAGACAGATTGTAGGGCTTACGAAACCTTGCATTAGATCAAAATGATTCTTTTGATGCTGACGCAAGTAATTTTGCTTAACACAAATGATTTTTTAGTAGATTCCTGATCCTTTTCTTGAAACTCAAATTGTGAAGTTCCTTCATGAAATGGTTAATCAGTTTCATTTCCTTTGTTACCAAAGCTTCACTCTGAGCATCACTCATCCCACCACCATCAAACTAACGAGGTAAACGCATGACTAACAGGGAAGGGGGTTGATTACAAACAGGGTCAGAAACAGGGTGATAGACCTTGACCAGAAGCATGTGCGCTGGCATTGTTCGAAGTCCCGTGCATTTTGAGAACTGAAACTGTAACAACTGGGAAAAACATACCAGCTCATTAAAAGACATACTTTGCTTGAAAACATGGAAGAAATGGGCTTGTTCAGACAAAAATCCCTAGTTGATGCTCAGCCGGCTATTTCCTGCACAGACTGTAAACAGTAAGCAATTGAAGATATTGCTAACCTCAGAGATAGCATATACGCTGTAAGTAGAAGGGTCAGTGCATGCAAGACGGTGAAGGTCTGTGCGATTGTCGTGGTGTTGTTGGCAGAAAACATTTCTGCTTGAAAGCACTAGTGTGCCATGCCCAACTTTAATCCGGTTTTCGTAGAAATTGAGCACTTGATTATTTGTTTCCAAGCATAATGGTGATTGGTAGGCACTGTTGAAAACAGTCGTGTCTGAAATCCCTGTGTTTTCCGTGCTTGTGCTCGTCCGATTTTGTCTGCCTTGCCGCGCAGTTGAAGTGAAAGCTGACTCTGGTCATTCTTACAGCACAAACCAGTCAAGAGAAAGACTTGTTAAAGTGCTTGCTTGATATTGTGGCTTGCGTAGAAAAACGGTCCAGCATGTCCTCTGCAAGTGTCTGTCGTCCTTAAGCGAAGCAATACGATGACAGCCTGGATGTTTTGGGGTGTTTTATTTCCCAGAGAATTAGGGGAATTTTTCTAGTGTTTAGATGTATGCACCAATTGAGAATTTACCTTTTGGAAAAGAAGTGCACATTATTCACCCAAATTTTCTGGTATTGGCTCTTGCCGTGAACGGTAGGGGATTTTGTGTCACTTCCCATAATGTTTTGGGGCCGGCATACAGTGTACCTGTAATGCGCGAACCACAAAAGGCCACTTTTTCATCTGAAAAAAGGCAAACGTGCAACATCTCTGTGTGGGTGCCAGTTGTGTTCATGCTTTAGCCTAGCCAGCCTCCCTCTTTGTCACTAGCAAGGGGAGGAACAGTCATAAGAAATCCCACCATAGACAGAGCCAGCACAGTTTGTTTGGCCATCATTGAAAATTACATCCAGATGGACCGATAGAAGCTGCCTCAAAAGATAAGTGTCGCAGATGCTAACAGTCGGTGGGAAATACTAACCCGGGAATGCTTATGAACGTTTTTTTGCCCATTTTCTCTCCATTATTATCATTATTTTGCATGCTTCTAACAATAACAGCGTACAGGAAGGCATCTGTATAACCCAGAAAGAGTAAGTTATTGATGTCGTCACAGGCAACAGCTCAAACCCGTCCTATGCCTCAGACCCAACCCTAACAGTGCCCGGAATCGCTTCAGTTCCAAAGCAAAATTTTCGATCGATCTTTTACTCAGGGCGATGGATCTCGACGACATGGATGTTGAACAATGATAGGAAGCTACGTTGTCAGCTTATAATCGTAATAAAGCTGGTCTGGTCCCATGACTCCACAATGTGTGTCTGCAGTTGTGTTGTACAGTCCAACCTTGGAGGGAGGGAAAAAAGAAAAAAAAGCTGCTGCGCGGCATCAATTCCAGAGCATCAGTCTGATCAGAGGCAAACTCTCTTTTTTTGGCCTAATACACTGATTCATTAAGCCCCCTCACCTACAATTTTTCTGAACAACCCGAAAGTTCAGTCGAGGTAGGACGTGCGTGAATTCACCTATATGAAGCGTGTGTCTTGAGCATGTTGTGTATTGGAAAGGTACCTGTATATTGGTTGCCCTGATGTGCAGGGGACTGGGTCAGATAGGTGAGTTTGTTGAAGTGGTGCACATTGCCTCTCTTCGTGTTTTTCAACATAAACTGCGAGAAAACATCCAAACTGTGGCCAAATACATGTACTCGTTGCCGTTAGAGATGAAGCTTGAGGCTAGGGCTGCATCCGAATCTGTTGTCCAGAGCTAGGTCTAGGTCTTTGCTCCATTGGAATACGCAGAAACAGTATACCTAGTCGTAGCTCAGGAGACCTATTTTGGACACTGCCTAAGTCTGATTTCATCCAACCTGTCAAAAGTATGATAGTACATGTACTGTTTTCTAATTCCAGAATTTCTTGCGGCGTTCAGGGTTTTACTACAGGGCACTGCTAGGGTTGAGAGTCCACTTTACACACTCATTTCCCCCCAAGTGCACTTTTTATTTTGCTCCAAATGTCCCTTGAGTGTAACTATTTAACCTCCACCTTTTTGTTGCGTGCAGAAAGTCAAACTGCTGATCAGTCATTCTTTGTTATTCTTCACTGATCGTCACCCCGACTGCCTGTTTTTCCCCCACAGCGGTCATTTTTGTGGCCAACGTTCATTCCAAACTCTTTGCTTTAAATCTTTTTGTTCAGAGGCAAGAAGCCAATCACAGTACCTTCATCCTCTGAAGTTTATTTTGGCATTAGTTAAGTGGCCATGTCAATCCTCCAGGATTTAGGGAAGTTTCCTCCAAACTAAGCCCACAACTGCAGTGTGTTGTAGTCGAGTCCATCACAAGTCCCTGCAAGTCCCTGGAAAGCCCATTACAACTCATTCTGTCTCGAGCCAGTTCGCAAGCTATTCAAATGAGCTGTTACTATTGTTGACCCTTTGTCATTGTTCACTCTTTTACTTATGACTGGCCTTGTGAAGGGACTAGCGAAGGGACTTGTGAAGGGACTTGTGACTGGACTTGTGAAGGGACTTGTGAAGTGAAGGGACTTGTGACTGGACTTGTGAAGGGACTTGTGAAGTGAAGGGACTTGTGACTGGACTTGTGAAGGGACTTGTGAAGTGAAGGGACTTGTGAAGGGACTTGTGACTGGACTTGTGAAGGGACTTGTGACTGGACTTGTGAAGGGACTTGAGACGGGACTTGTGACTGGACCTGTGACGGGATTTATGACTGGACTTGTGAAAGGACTTAGTATGAAAGGACATGTGATGGACTGAAATACAAACCATCTTTAGTGTTTTATGTCTGAGTAGTTTCTTTGTTGCTTTCTTGCTGTTTTTCTCTTGTTGATTGCTGCATTCATTTGCTTCTCAGCTCTAGTTGTGCTTTTGTGCCCCGTCGTACACAGCTTGTCGTGGCCAGTGCACATTGTTCTGAAGGCTTTTATTATTCCATTTTATTAACTTAGGGTTTCCCACATTGCTTTGTTTCAATGTGATTTCCGAGTGAGGCGAGCTTTACACTTTACACCCCTCGACACAGGAAACTTTGTATTTGTGAAATCACTTGTAAATATACAGATGCACATTCCAACAGACAAATGTACGTTGCATTGGATGTAATGCATGCCTGTCCATCTTGTGACAAGAATACTTGGACTTAATTTTCCTGAGAGTGTGCTTATTTGGCAACCGCATATATTGTTGGTCTCGCCATGAAGTGACGTATTGTACTTATACAGTCAACCACCTGTGTGAAAAGGTCATTGAGACTGTACAACTTTCCCTGTCATGAAAGGGACCTTGTCTTGTGAGAAGTGGAATACACAAAAGACTTTGAGGACCTCAAATTACATTACTTTATAGCGTGACCAGCAAACAGTATGAATCACTGTCTTGTTGGATGTTGGCATGGTTTGAGTGAAGAGTTCCAGAAGTTCTGCATTTTGTGCTTTACTGTTGGGGCAGTTTTACTGAGTATTACTTTCCTGTTTGTTTTTCTCCTTTATCGTCACATCTTGTCATTTTTTTTTCAACCTGCAGATCTCACTGGGTTCCAGTTCGTCATCGGTGCCAGCAAATCCCACCCCGTCGATGTCTGACACAAATGTGGAGGACTTGAAAAAGAGATTGCAGCGCATCAAGAGCTCCCTGAACAAGTAGTGAGACTGAGGGAAGATTAAAAGGAGTTGCTATGGTTACCATAGCAACAGAACGTGACAAAGTTGTAGTGCCGGCACACAGCGAAACGAGGAATGATGTCATTGCGGCTTGTGAAGCGACCGGCTCATTTGTGTTTGATGAGTCATATTTGTTAAAGCCTTTCCCCCCAGAGCAAGCTTTCAGATACAAGCATGGTGTTCTGGCGAGGTGTGGCAGTATGAATCTAGTTCCCCACGGTGAGGATGTGGCACAGATCGCAAAAGAAAAATTTCATCATGGTGCGTGCTGAGAGAGAACCCATGAGGGTAAAAGGGTCTGGCATTGCGCATGGGAAAAAAAAAAGATGAAATATCCTGAAACGCAGACATGTTGTCATAAGTGGGGGAAACTGGCTTTTCAAACCAAATAAGGCAACAATTCTGAAAGAATTAAAAATACGGATACGCTTGAAAATCTGTGAAAAATTATGTATAACTGGAGGTCTTTCACTGCTTGGAGCTATTTTCTTGACAGATTTGAATTCTGTAGCCCCCTTTTCTATTTCTTCCCCCCCATTCATGCATGTATTCAAATATTCGCCTTATTTTTTCCTCCATAGATGTATTAACAGATTACATGTATGATCATTACATCATTCACTGTCTTGTCATTGCCTATGCAGTTTGGGTAGATACATGAATATTCATGCAAAGGTTGTCGCATATGAACTTTCCATTGGTCGTCAGGACACGGGTTCGATTTCAGTTGGTGGTGGGTCATTACTTATGCAAATTAAAAGCATGAATTTGGGGGAGTTGAGTGTATGTTTCTTTGATTTGGATCGGTTGCCTACTTACCAGGTGTTTTTCTTATGCAGATTTGTTATTTGAATCTTTGTAATCCTTACAATGCATTTTAATATTTTTGTTTTCTTAAGGAGCACCCTTGTCAGTCTTTATCCATAATAAATAATGTGCATTGTGAGCCATTCAAAATGCTCCCCCCCCCTCGCTAGACAGTGAATTGTGCATTTTCCCTGCTACAGGTTGTAGTTGTGCACGACCCCCCATTCCAATCCCCCCACTTCCCAAAATTGCTATTCACAGCTCTAATACTGTACAGAGTTAATCTTAAGGTTATTGTACATGACTTCTGTTTTGCCAAATCGATTTGCCTTACGTGAACTTAAGATTGGCCTTTTGTAACAAGTGAATTGCTTTGACTGACGAAAACTTTAACCTGCCCGGTTTCAGCACAGAAGATGTAAATACCGATTCGGCAACTGTTGAAAACTTTACCCTGCCCGGCTCTGGTACAGAAGATATCAAAACATATTCGGACCCACCGTCTGCTTTTCTTCTGGCATTTGTGCCAGCAGTAAAAGTGAACAAATAGCCTAATTTGGACAGTTTATAAAGACTTACCAGGGCTTTTAACCTTGTAATGCCCCTTTATGCATTTATGTCACATTGATTAAGACCTCAGATGGGGTAAAGTGTCAAATGAATGGCTGTGTAACTGCTTCATAATGCAGTCTTAAAAGTATTAACTGTCAAGCTTTTTTTTTTTAGTTGTAACCCCCTCCTCTGATTACAAATACCATATTTTCTAATCGTTTACTGGCTATAAGGCCCCGAAGTGTCCGAATCTAAGTGTTTTGGTTAGGAGCTGAGTTGTGTATAGAGACAGTAGTACTAACTTCAGTCTTTGGAACCAAAATGACCGTTCATTATGTGTGCAGCACAGCATGCAGCTATTGTTGCTAATTGTCCATGTGCACTGATGCATTATTCACCATTTTGGTTCCAACAGTTGAGAACCCCTTGTCGCAACTCTCTCTATAAACAGCACTGGCCTATGGAAAATGAGTTCAGTCGCTGACTAGTGGCTTCTGTAGTTCTGTGTGCTGATTTCAGCCGCAGCTACAACTCTGGGACCGTCCAGTCTCTCACGTGTACCTGTTTGTGGCCGTGCGCAACAATGGCCATCAGGTTGAGTTCGGCTGTCGTTAGAGGCATCGCTATAAATTCAGCCAATCACTTCCCCTCGCCTATAGGTAAAGACAGGGCTCTCGCATGCCCCTCAGTGTCCTTAGAAGAAACCTGTTACGTATCTCTTGCCTTGTGTGCTTGTGACAACTGGACATTTATGGGTGCTGGGTGTGCTTGCATCATGTGATATAATTCAGCCAATCAGCGGTCTTGCTCTGCTTTTTGTTTCTGTGTGCATTGTGTTACATAACCCTAACGTTTGGGAATAAATGTTACCCAGTATTGGAGTTAGGTCATAATTGTACATATATATCTAAAATTATCCCAACCTCGTTTGGCAATAGCCTAGCAAGTATGTATTTAAAATTACTCTGTACCCTGTATCAAAAAACAACAAAGTGTACATAATATCAAGGGTAATATGAAAATTAACACGTTGCTGTGATTTTGTCAAGTCGATGTAAATTATACGACTATTAAACTTTCAAAAGCTACTCGCTGCTTGGACCAATGGCAATGCAGAGTCCAGACTCTGTTTTTTTGTTTGTTTTTGTTTTTGGGGAGTCTTTTTTTTTGGTTTGGGAAAAGTGTACCGTCCACTACTCGAAACACAGTGGTCCGATGTTGTGTTCGAGATCTGAGGTTATAAGTTATGTGGGAGTGGTTTTTACCCCACAAGGATCAAAATGATATCAAAGGTGATGGGGTGACAAGAAAGGGAGCTGTTTAGGTCATCGTGGCTGACCGACTTGACCAGAGTGTTCCAGAAGCTGATAATGGGGGCCCTTGTATCGAACCACAAGTAGAGTACTACGCGTGTTAATGCCTTTTATTTCATACATTAAGTTTGCATGTGTTTATGTAACGTCTTGCTTTCCTCAGATTTATATTGTGTAACTACCTGTCTAGTTAGTCATCCTAGTTTTCAGACAAAAACTCGACTGTCACTTTGCTTGGTGCTCTAGGCACTTGTCTCCCGAGAACGAAATAAATCGCTTGACCCCGGGACCCATTTTTTTGGGGGGGGGCAGTTCACAGCCGAAGTGACAGTGTTGGACGCCTTTCCAATCCGGTCTGGGTTTAAAGAAAACAGAGATTTCCTCCCAGATAACCGACCAAGCGAGGAACGGGAAAGCGTGATTCCTGTGTTTATAAGAGATTCGTCGCTCCTTCAAGTTAGTAAACTTTGGGGGATTGTCTCGATATGGTCTTGATTTCTGTTCAGTCTTGTTGGCAGGCTTGCAGGATTGTTCTAATTTCACCGGTGTAAATCAGAACAACTGCCTGGCTTGCTAGTGCCCCTAGTACCATATCACGGTTTGAATACCGGTACGCATCAGGCCGTTGCCTGACCAGAGACGGGGGGGTTCGTCAAACTAAAAAGTTGAACTTTTGGCACTGTGAACACATTATATATACAAAGGCCTATCACAATGTGCTTTGGAAAACGACATTGAAAAGTTGCTTGTCTGTCGCGATCCAAAGGTTGCATGTAAGACTTGTACACTGTAGTTTTCAATATTAAATAAACTTAACAAAAATACATTGATTTTAAACCCTTTGAAACACCTGAAATATGGTTATTTGCCGGAACTTCCCGACAGTACATGTGACTGTAGATTGACTCATTAATGAATATGCAGAATCGTGGTCACCTTGAGCTTGAGAATCAATTAACATATAAGCTGTGGCTTGTATGCCGAATATTACGGACTGTTTAAAATATTCAGTACACACACAAAAAAGACCACCAACATGCGGAACTCAGAAGCGAGCGGGGGGGACCCCTAGCCTATGGGCCTGCGTATTCAGAGGAAAGCTTCGGCGTCGTTGCCAACCCATCCCACACACACCCTTCTTCCGAGGAGTTGTAGGGTGTGTACTCGGAGTCTCGCTGTCGCGGAAAATTCGCGTCCAGTGGCCAGTAGTGTGGGCAGTGGGACACTCGCAAACAGTGGCGAAGCCACGGGGGGCATGGGGGCACGCCCCCCCATTCCCGGTGTCCCCTAGGTGCCCCCCCCCTAAAAAACGGATGAATGGATATTGAACAAGACCGACGAAAACCTGACCCCAAAAAACCACACCATTGAAAGCTGGCCCCCATAAGATGCTGGTGCCCCCCCTTGTGCACCCCACTCGTAAAATCATAGCTACGCCATTGCTCGCAAACAGGATTTGTCGTGGGGTGGGGTGGGGCATCAGACCGGAATTCACCCCCAATATGGCACATGATGCTCGAGCGCCACTTCCCCCCCCCCGGTTGCACTAGGGGACTGGTGTTGTATCAGTAGTAGCCAGTAGTTTAAGATGTACGTGTATGTTGTATGTTTGTTTTAAGAAAAGAACAGCAGAACCTCGGGGGTTGAGACTCCGAGCCCCCCCCCCCGTACGCCGTGGCGACAGAATGAGCTTCGATTATTTCATGCATTTATCTGAACCCACTGGCTGTCCCTCTTCAGAGAATGCACGACGACCTCCAAGTCACCCCCTTTAAATAGAATCCCAGTAGATTGTAGCGCCATACCAGGTGTAGTGTTAATTTGCTTTGCAAAATCACATCTCTTGGGACGCATGGACATTATGACAGCTAGGGTCGGGCACTAAATGAACCTTTTTGAAGCATAATTAATACTGTATAGCCACGATTAGTCCATCGATTCATCTAGAAGCGTGTTGGTGGGCACGTCATTTTTTTTCAAAGATCTCACACGGGGTGGAATGGTATGGCACACCCCATCAATGTCCCCGAATGGACTCCAGTTGAACCATGGAGGAAGACGAACCGGTTTCCTCGTCTGCGAGTTTTGCTCTCCTCTGGATGCCTGTAATATGTAGCCACAAAGTGATGACACAGTAAACCAGACATCCGATCATTAGTATTTTGCATCCGGTCTGCCCCGTATATATTCCTCTGGGTCGGACCAGGCCCTTGGTAGCGCGCGTCCTTGCCTTTGCATATACCAACACAATCGACCAACACCGCGTGCCCAGCGAGTCATACCGAGCATTACCGGAGAGTGACCCGCTCAGTTTGGTGTCGATTTTTTGGTTACCGGGGACGCTTCTGGCGCTGGCGTGTGCAGCTGAGAAATCGATGCGATATCTTCTGGTCAAGTCATAAAGGTTAGTAGAAAAATCAAAGAAATTCTATTTAAAGAGCAAGCCTAATTTTTTTATTGTGTGGATTTACATATGCTCGTAACACTTGGATATGTTTGTGTATTTTTAATGGTCGCGCGTAATGAAAGGGGAGAAATTAGACTCTTGGAGATCTGTATCACGGTGTTGTTTTCCTCACTGAAATTTTATTTTGGAAATAGGTAACAAAGCTAGGCCTGCTCTTTTAAGTAAACACATATAAATATTGTATTGACCAATTTATTCAGAGGTTTCAAATGTCCGGCTATTTTAGTTTGGACTTGTTGAGCCTGTTGTTTCAAAGTTTATAACCGACTCTAATTTGTAGCATTGGAGTACGACCGTATCACACTCTTTTGAATGAACTCCACATTGCAAAGTTTATTTCAGTACTTTTTTGGGGGGGGGGAATTTGTGTTTAATGTTTCTCCAGAATATTCCAACAAGTTAGATCAGTTTTGTCCGGTGCCTTCATTTTATAGAGCATTTTTATTAATGAAAATTCAGCAGGCTGTATTTAGCTTTTTCGACAAATATATTTTTGTTCAAATTAATAATCAGTGAGTCCGCTTTTGCCTTCCATACCACAGCTAGGCCTACTGTACTGTTTAATTTATGTTGAATTACCCAGGCTGAAAAGGAGACAATAGACGATGTAACCTTGTCAGAATTGACCATTTCCTCATGAATGGAATCACATCCGCAAATATGGTATGATCATTATTTTCACAGTTTGTTTTCTTTTTTATAGCTTTTTCGTTCTGCCTGCTTGTCGCTCAGGGAACGATGAATCACCAATTTCCGCCGACTGTTCTTATTTGCATCTCGCTCCTGATTGGCTGCTGCTACGCGGGCGTCGACCAACCACCGGAGGGTCCGTCCGAGAGCGAGACCATTTCTCAGCCAACCGACGCGTTTGAAAGCCCGGCTGCCGGCGACGGTGTCACGCCTGCCGGAAGCAATCCGTCGAGGCCCAGGGTTCAAGATCCACAGGCGTGTTCGAGCGGTTCGCCCATCGTCATTGGTATGCCTGGTCCGGCCGGGCCTGTCGGACCGCAGGGCATCCCAGGCGTTCAAGGCCCAGCAGGGTTCCCGGGCAATCCTGGTAACAATGGGAACAATGGACAGCCCGGGTCGACAGGGAGGCCTGGAGAAAGAGGGGAGAAAGGCGAACAAGGCTTCCCGGGTTTGCCAGGTATAAAAGTTTCATTTCAGTAAAGCAAATCGTGCACATGCCAGTGGCATGGAAATTAAAGACCATAACACTTAATGGTAGTAACTGACGATCACTGGAATTGAAATCAGGCGTATCAACAAACAGGAAGTACATGTACAAGATAATGACATAGACAAACGAAAGACATCCGAAGACATCCACATGAAATCTGGTTCTTCGTGTATATAAAATACTCAAACTGAATTACCACTTGTCCAGGGGTGGATTGTGGGGAGGGCAACGGGGGGCTATGCCCCTCCCCGAAAGAAGCAAAAAAACTTTTCTAAAAAAAAATTGAGAGAAAGGGTTTTTTGTCTCTATTTTCATTTTCTTTGGAAAGCATTTAAAATTTCCCCAAATAATTGTCTCATTACCCGTCACAAAAATTCCATGAAAGTTATATGAAAAATTCCAACCTCTTTGGTTTCCCCCAAAATAAGTCCCCGCCCCCAAAATTTGGTCTGGATCCACCCTTGTATTAGTTGTGGATGCTCCTGCAAAATTAGTAATTCTGTCAGAGTAAAACGCACGGTTGTATTGAATTTAATCATCCCCTAACTGTCACTGTGCAGGTCCCCCAGGCGGTACGGGGTTCACCGGCCCAGCAGGTCCGCCAGGGGCACCGGGAGAGGTCGGCAGTCCGGGGCCTATGGGACCACTGGGCAAACACGGTTTGACCGGGCCCCCTGGGAGCGTCGGACCCCCAGGTCAGTCTGGACCCATCGGTTTCCCAGGTAGGTGACTACATGGAGTATTACTTTTTAATAGCTCCATGGTGACTGTAAGTCACTCAGAAAATCCAGAGGGTATTATTCAGAACTGCACAGAAAGAGAAACAAATGGACATTTGTTTCCATGAGTAGGGGTGGGTATTTGTGTAAGGGGCGTGGAAGGGCTTCCCAGATGCATCCTGCGAGAGCAGCGTTGTAATAACTTGGGTCAGTGACTCTACTAAATCCATTTCTCGTCACAATTTTTGTCGACTTGACTCGACTCGAGTCTTCCATCAGAATACCCTACTCGTGTGAAAGTTTGAGTCCCCCAAAAAGAAACTTCAGTAAGTCGCTGCAAAAAAAAAAATTGCAGTGACCTACATTGCCAGTTTGTAATTATGTGAGTTTACAATTATGTTCGTGCCATGTGCTATTGTCATCAAGAGTAAATTAGATAGGACCACATGTACATGTGTACAAACCCAAAGGTAATTTTTGAATGCCCCCAAAATGATTTCCGGCCTTGCTTTTATTTATCCTGATGTGTTCAAATATTTGGGACTGCAATTGACTCGAGCTAAATACTTTACTCAGCTAGACATTTTTTACTCAACTCGTTTCACAACGTCAAAATGACTCGAATTGAGTAAAAGAAAAATTGGTGACTTGTATAGAGATTTTTTTAAGGAACTGAAAGCGACAGCATCTTTGAAAAGGCATTATACCACCTCGGGGAGGGGGTTGAAGATTCGCTTGCAGAGGACATTAATCAGACTGTCATCTCTGGAAAAAATATACCCCCTCCTTGCCACTGCGACTTCCCATGCACCGTACAGATTTTAAGTGTTCAGATGAAAGCGTCCCCATAACTTCACTCTGAGAATTCCGTCACCACTAGGCCTACATGGCTCCTTTGTCCTCCATACTGCCGTCTTTAATAGGCCGTCATTGCTTGGTCTCAAGTTTTATCTAGAGTTTAAAGTCTAGCAGCAGTTAAGCAAAATGTACATGGTTTCTTAATTGGGTGCGTCCAGTTTCTGATTAAGTTCGTGAATGACTTCAGTGGCCGCAAAGTGTCATATGGAATTTTAAGAGTGGTAATTATTTCAAACTGTGTATACTTTTTGTTTCGTAAATGTGCAGGCGAAAAAGGAGACCCAGGGGACACAGGTCTCCCAGGGTTACCGGGTGAATGCGCCTGTCCACCGCCCAGAGCGACCGACACTCCCCCGCTGGGAAATACCGGCGGGGGGCGGCAAACCCGAGGCGGTAAGTCGGCCTTCTCTGCTGCCCGTACGACAAGCTTGATGGCCACCAACGGGCCGGTGGTCGTGACGTACCAGACGCTCTTCTCGAACAAAGGCGGCAATTTCGACAAGGACACGGGGGTGTTTCAGTGTGCTATCGCCGGTGAGTTACTAGTTTGGGGCTCTTATGCATGACAGATTTAGGGGGCTATATCAGCTAAGCCCCAAATGACTTAGGGGGCTATTATTCCCTAGTATATGTTAATGTTTACTTTCCTTCCCCCCCCCCTGTTTTTCATTGTTATTTTCCATTGCTTTTTTCCTGCAGGGACGTACTTCTTCAACATGAATATTTACAAGTCATCAGCTCAGAATTTCCCTCTCGTACAGTTGCTTCTGAATGGTAAGTTTGGGCAACTGTGCGTAGAAAAAAAGAAATTAGAACGAAAAACGAAAACAAACGGGCTGTTAATTTTTGGATGGGAATTTTGTTGTTAATATTGCCCCAAAAGACTGAAAAAAGGAGCTTAGACCTACACAGATGTAGTGTCGGTCTAATTTTTAAAAAAATGGAGCTCATACATCAGTCCAGGTTTCCCTGGAACGTCTGACGTAACTTATCTTCCTCCTTTGTCCTTGTTATGGTTCCTTTACTTTTCTCTCCAAGAACTTTTCGAACCATTTGTTGGGAATTCTGACCAACCAGCCAAAGGATATTTTGCTTTCTATTGACAACTGTAAATCCTGCCGTGCGGGCATTCCTAATTTTATTAACCCAAGAATACGAAGGCAGTTCTTATACTTTCCTGTAAACGGAACTGACCCTTCGACCGCCTAAACTTCGGCCGACTGAACTTTTTTGAATGAGACATCCTAAAGACTCTTAAGCTATTTTGCCATTGCATATACATGTGCATGTATATCTACTGGCTTCTCACACTGAAAATTCTTACATGAAGTAGGCCTACCCAATTCCACTGCTCCACTCAACGTTCTCGCTTGGCGTGCTTCTCTTCTGCAGTCTGGCCAAGTGACGTTGACCTAACCCGTACCGTCTTTGGTCAGGCTGGTGAATGACAAATTATTAATCATCTTTTCTTTTTCTATGAAAACGACCGTCCCATTTTTTGATCTGTAAAGGAATCCCCAAATCCCCAGAAGGTGCTTGTTAACCGTTTCTAGCCCTTTCAATTAAAAAGAGCAGTGCAGTGTCTAGAGATTTGTTCCTATTATGCAGTGCGCAGTATACACACTCGTGGACGGTGCTGACGTGCCGCGCCCCGGCGCGCAATTCCGAACGCCGGTTACCCTCAACTTTCCTCATGCAGCGTTGCCAAACCTCTCTGTTGAAAAACTTTAAATTCATACAGTTAAATATTGGTACTCTTACCTTCATTATGCACGCTGTTGAACCTTTTCGAACTATTTCAGTTTCATGAAATTTAGTCCGAAATTTAAAAATGGTAGCTTCCGGAATTTAGGCACAAGTTCAGCTGAATGTTCCCAGGCTTGAGTGGTAACAAATCTCAGATACATCATATTAACATTTAAGAATTTGTAAAGTAGGAGACCTAGACAATTTCTGATAAATCGTTGCTGCCTCCTCTCACTCAAGTTTGTACGAAAATGATTTTCTAATTTTGGGGCACATTTTAAAAAAGAGTGCAGTGTGCAATTCGACAGTATAGCTGAAATCAGGTCAAATGCAATTTCATTGGAACATATTACAGTGGGTAACGTTAACTAGAGCTTGATGAAATAACTTCTGTGAGTGTAAACATTTGAGGCAAAAATATTGCCATAGCGACTGGAGGCGAAACTGTGCCACCCCAGGTACTTGTAGGCGCCATGTGTGCCACGTTCGTTAGGCTTAGAGGCTGGTCCATAAAATACGTACGCACGGGGGGGGGGCGCCGTTGCGTACACCACGTGTACAGAGGTGGAGGGGGTTCAAGCCAGTGCGCCATACCGTCCGCCAAACGAAAATTTGTCTTTAATGAATCTTCATCATATCAATACACTTTCTTATACAAATAAATACCAGAATCAGCTTCTCTGCTTCGAAAAACCATTAATCAAACACGGTTTCCTCCATCATCCACCCCACCATGTTTTCCTCCCGTGCCAATTATTTGTAAACCGCGATATAACTCATGACGCATAAACCGGCAGCATCTTCCGGAAACGTACAGGTACCCTCATCCGTGCAATTAATTGTAGCTAAAAATGCTCAACCCAAAATAAATAGCACAACCCTAAATATTTCCACGGTTGAGTAAAAGTCAACGACTTATGATTTTTGGTTATTACTCCGATCATGGAGGAAGGAAAGGTCTCCATGCTCTGATACGGTATGCGTACGGGGGGGCACTAAGTACGCCATGCGAAAACGGGGAGGGGAGGTCTGAAAAGTCGTCCCAGTCGTGCTTAGGTACTTTGTGGACGGCCCCCGTACGCGTGCACTCACGGTATTTGTAAGTCTATGTACCCCCCCCCCCAAAAGAAAAATACTACAGAGCATTGTCCCACGATAATACACGAATCAGTGATCGTACAAAATGGAATTTTCATGTTTTTTCTGGTCTAGTGTCGCGTAATGAAAAACGCCGGTTTGGTGTGCCATACAGCTAGCCCCAGCTCTCCGCACGTACGTACGTGCGTGTGTAGGTGCGCGCACATCTACAGCGCAATTACAAAGGTCAACGATTATAGCCAAAGTGCAGCTTAAGGCATTCAACAATCCTCGGTAGTATAGTGGTTAGTATCTCTGACTGTCACTCAGGAGACCGGGGTTCGATTCCCCGCCGGGGAGGATTGATTTTATTCTTTCTTTCTTTTAGGACATTTTGTTTTCATCTTCTAAACAAAAATTAGACGGTTAGACTATTTGCTGTTTCCTTTTTCTTTTCCACTTGTTTCGCGCATTGCATGATGCAAGATTGGCATAGATTGCACGAGGATGGTAATTTAAATTTTCCCGACCTGCCGGACTGTTGAAATAAGGTTTCTCAAATAAAACAAGGACGTCCCGGCAGTGTGCATTACATGATTGTCTATTGAGGTACGACTGGGCATCGCTGCTCTACTGGGTAGTTTATTTTAAACCTTTTAACGATTAAAAAAATTGGTAGGCCTATTTGTATTATCAACATTATTAATTGGGTCAATTTTTCAAGACGCTTGCCTTTACAGAGAAAAATTTGCAATGTCGATGTTGTGGGAAAGGCAACCAACTCTTGTTCAAAGTTACTCAGCTCGCGTAATTTTTTTCCTAGGAATGTTGGGGTGCGCATGCGTTTTTCATCTAGGAAGATTGGGGGCAATTATTAAAATGGGGTACACGAACTTTTTAAGTACAAGTTCACAACAAAATTGCCTTTCTGGCCGACTTGCAGGCACGGTACATGTAGCTCTGTTAGCAGAGCGTTATGTTTAAAACCAACAAGCCGAGGGTTTGAGTCTACATATGTAGTAATTTTTTCCTGGTGTGGAATTTGTTAGTTGGAGGATGTTAGTAAGAAAGTAAAGCCCGACATTTACCCTAGCACTTAAGTTTCTAAGTGTCCACTAACGTACCCGATCAAGCTTGCAGTTAACCACGCCCGTCTACTATAATTACCCCTCACCTTTCTAAAAACCTAGGCAAACAAATTACGCATCTGGATCTAGGCCAAGCAAAATATTAAGACGACCAGTCCTCGTATGAACGTTCATGTCATTCTCCTGGGAATATTTGCGTCAGTACGCGGCTACTCATATTATGGAAGAACAATTGTATGAAAAGAAGCATGCTTTCTTTGATTAGAGAATATAGAAGGGCATCCCAGCCCACCCCGTCCCCACCGTGACTTTGGCCGTCACTTGTAGAAATCCTGTACTCGGAGTCGTCTTCGAATCCTTTGGAGAATAATGTTTTTTCCCCACAGATTTTCCCGCAATAGTAATGGGCATTACAAGAGAAGATTGAACACAGGAATAGACAAATGTTGTCTTTTCCAGCTTGAAATATTACCGTTTTCAATGGGGATAAAAGGATAGCTTCCATACTCCGTTCGTCTATCCCCGGTACAGGTGACCACAAGATCGCAGTGATCGACTACGGGGCTTCGGACACCGAAGACGGGGCCAGCAATAGCGTGATACTGGACCTAGAAGTCGGCGACCGGGTCTGGCTACAGCTTTACGACAGCAGAGAGCTGCACAGCAGCCACTACCGCTTCACCACCTTCTCTGGCTTCTTACTTTTCGAGGCTTAAGACATGGTTTACCAACAGTCGCCATAAAAGTGGCGAGGCAGCGGAAAGAACCATGGAGGAAGGAGGAGAAAGAACTAAGCACAAAGATTAAAATTCTTAAAATGTGAAATGCCGGGTGGTTGAGGAGGGGGCTTGTAAAGGAACGTAATAAAGTGATTTGAATGTTTGTATTGAGTGTCACTTTAAAAATAAAAAGGTTGTGTGGCATTTTAATAGAAATGGAGGCCATTTTGTAGGGGTGACTAACAATTGAAAAGACAGGGTGTAGTTTTGTGGCTTAATATGTGGTTACAAAGCCAGGAAACACTGGTTGGGTTTCAATGAACTTCATTGTATGAGGATTTCAAGAGTGTCTGTTGATCCATTTCTTCATGCATAATACTGCATCTTGTTCAGTTTTTAGTTTGTTACAGTAGAGTGGCAGTAGAAAACAGCAGCAAACGCCGAGAACCAAACACAACACACACAAAACGTAAAGAGAGATAATTTTATTTTTACCTCCTCTCTTTCTTCCACGGCATAATGTTGCACTAAAAAATATAATGCTTCAACACGACAGCATTAGCTTTCAATGTTATTTTTCCTGTGTAATGTGGAGTCATGATGACGAGTACATGAAAATGTATACGCAACAGACATGTGCATGAAACTGATAGCAATATTTGAAGGGGTAAACTTTCCCATTTGGATGCAGAAACATTGTAAATGCAGATCTGCTTACAAACTGAAGCAGCGAGAAACCAATTCTCAAAGACAAGAGTTTGCGTAAACGACATAAAATTATATAAGAATGCACTGTGCCTTCTATGATGGTATGACATTTGAAAGAATAACAGCCCCTGTAGAAGTTTAAACTTGTTCATCATAATTTCTGTTAGTAAACGGTCCATATGAGTTTGTCATCAATCAGAAATTTAAAGTTCCTATCTTGATTTCATATCAACTGTCCAACTCTCAAGCTTGAAAAAAGTGTATTGTTTCTACAGGCGATCTTTGATCTGGACTTATTTTGACTATCTCAAAGACCTTCTGATAATTTTCATTTCATGAAAAATTGGTACGTATTGAAAGGACTTAAAAAGTACTACTCCAATACAAACTTAATCAACAGCTGAATACGTGTTGCTTTTCATTTTTACCAGAAATGTCATAACCTAGCCTAGTAGTTCGTGTAGCCAGGATGGCTGTAATTCACTCCATCTATAAACAAAAAATGGTAACATTAAAGCTAAACAGCACCCCCTGCCCTCGTTAAAAATAAAAGAAAACAGAGTGAGTGATTATGAAAGATGTCTTACTGCATTTAGCAACCAGCAAGGTTTTACAGAACAATTCAATCTTTTTTCAGAAAGTATTCATCAAAGTTTGTTGCACAATACGGGAGATTCATGACAGAGCACCTTCAAGAGTTTGCAACGCATTGGCCAATCATAACGTGCGAAATCTGTCGACCCTTTCCAAACGTGCATTGGGGCGACAAATTTCATGCATTGTGATTGGCCAATGGGCCGCAAACTCTTGGAGGCGCACTATTGTGAAACGCCTGTATTGGGGAAAAGGGGTCACATGGAATTGTAGGAAATGTTTACAAACCTTGCAAATTAAAATGATGACCACAAAAAAGAGAGAAAAAGCACACAAATAAAAACCAACCCAACATTATGCATAAAAAATACTGAATTGTCTGTGTTCAGCATTAAGAAACAAAGCTTGTGCAAATTTGTATTTCAGACTGTTTCATAGAGAAGGACAGTCACGGTAAGTTAGAGGCATCTTAAATTAGAAAGCCTAGCATCACAAGGTTCACATCAACCATTTCAGAATTATTCACCCTTTGTTGAATAAAAAATAATGAACCTGTGTATACATGTATATATTATGAAACTGTCTGGTGACGAGATTATCTTAACTGCACTTTGAAAGTTCATTATCTTCAGATATCATTTAGTTAATTTTAAGTAGCACTCAAATTGCACTGAAAGTCACATATGAGCAAAAACGTAAAGCGTTGGGTCTGTGTTGTGCAAACTTCATAAAAAACCAAACAATAACAGCTCCAAAGTCTTTGGCTTTTTTCTCAATGGCAAGAGAGAGCAAAAAAGTCATCACTGCTTCTGTAAGCCTATAAATGGCCAAATTCTATCCAGATTGGGCACGTTTGTGGTCTTTGAAACACACCGGTGTTGTTGAGTGGCTCCTCCTTAAAATTGATAGTGAGAAATTTCCTGCAGTTGTGGACGTTGAGCGCAACCATTAGAAGCAGGTTTTCCTTTTTCGTCACCGTCTGCTCTTCTTGGTGGCTGTGTTGGCTTTAAGTCTCCTGTTCTCTTCTCGTTCTCTCCTTATGTCCTCCAGATCCTCTAATATGCCCAGACGGGTTCTGTAACATACAAAGAAAAAAACACACCGTGTTACTCCAAAATAAACCATCAAGAATGATTATAGTCTTTAGAAGACACAAAGTGGTTTCAAACCCAACTCGGGAATCATGGACATATTGGCGTCCCTGAGCAAGACACTTTGCCACAATTTTTTGTCGTCATCTACTGAAAACAAAATTCTTTGTTATTTTGGGCCATGATAATATGAATTGGCAAATCACTGTGGCCAATCAGGGCAGTAAGAGTTTGAGATTAACATTGTTGAATATGGCACGCGTCAATTAAGTCCAACATCAAAATGTAAGCGGAAACGTAAGCATCTGCATCCTGCGGAGAGCGTCATCCGATGTACAGCATAAGGAACTGGAGCAGTGCGTCATCTTCCAACTTGGAACACTGCATCCAGGGGGAATGAACATGGACTTTTCTACATTCATTCAGAACTGAATCTGCTTGCCCTGACGAAGGTACCCAGTTACTGAAAGCTCGGCTAAAAAGATAAATTTAGAGCACTGATTGTATATATATCTTTGTCAATATTCTGATTACAGTGCTACGCAGCCCTTTCACATTTCTTTTATCAAAATGTAATAAGCTGTATGTACATGTATTTATTGAATCGAAAAAAAGCCAACGAAAATGCTTTAACAATGTCTCTGGTCAAACGCTTCAAAACATCTTTTTTGCCAGAATATGATCACATGTTCTTCATTTGAGCTTCCAGGAATTACTATTGGACCGTTCTGTCTGGGAGAAAATGGAACTTGATACAATGCCTTTCATATGCACTTCCTCAATGTATTTCCTTTTTGGAAAAGCCTACAAGGCTTTTTTGGACCAAAGAGCAGAGTGGGGTGGGAAAAGGATAGAGCAAAGGGGCGTGGCTAGGTTATAAAGGACGTACGTTCTAGCCTCCTCTTTCTGGATTTCTCGGAAGCTAGCCTCCATGTTCCTCAGCTGGTAATCACTGACGTAGTCGTACCTAATGATTCCGAAAGAAAAAATGGATCAGAAACAGGTCAGATGGTGCAAAAACAATCATCCCTTATAACATTTTGGCAACTGAAGTACTGAAGTGTGACATCACTTTGAAGCAGGAAGTGTTGTGCAAACGAATGGAGTACATGCGCGTGTTGGTTCACACACTGGTTCTCATGCTAATTGCCTTCTACACACGTATGCACTTCAGTACTCTATAGTTACGGTAGTCCATTTAGTGATGCTATATCACTTTTTGCATGTATCACTTGCTAAAATGCGTCAGATTTTTAAAATATCTTACAGCTTCAAGTTGAATGTGTCATGTAATCCAAAATACAAGAAAGTTCATTCACTTTAATACATGTTTATTTTACAAGACAAGTTCATGAAAAAGATTTTTTTTTCTGCCAAAAGGCTGAACTCCTCATACATTCAATTCGTTCCCTGGGAGATAAATGTCCTGTTTGTTTCACATGGAGCTTAATCTTGATTAGTAATCCGTCATCGGTTCACTGACACCAGAATATCAATAATGAATGCAGCAAACCAGTTTTGGGATCACCGACAGAGATCCATTTCCATGTGAAATTAACAGGCCTCACACTGCATGCTTCAAAGGACATAAAGTATGGTTTATACACTTTAACATCAAATGCCAGAGAGTAAGAAATGTATGGACTTTAACATCTACAACAAGGTACTCACAGTGTCATCTGTTTGAAATGTCTAGTGTGTGTTTAAGTAAAATGGAGCCCCCTACCTTCAGAGCGGCTTTTTTGGCTTTAAAGCTTTGTCCATATTACATGGCTTTGGCTCGCAGCAGCACATGTGCCTATGGGAAGTGGCTGCACCTGTGAGACAAAGCCTTGTCCGAATCACATGGCTTTGGCTGGCACTGAACATGAGCGCCTGTGGGAAGTGGCTGCACCTGCCAGCCAAAGCCTTGTCTGAATTAAGTGGATTTGGCTTAGAGTAAACACATGTGCCTATGGGCAGTGGCTGCATCTGCTAGCCAAAGCCTTGTCCAAATCACATGGCTTTGGTTGGCATTAAACACAAACGCCTATGGCAAGTAGTTACTTCTGGCAGCCGGTGGATTCCCTAAGCATCTGTGCTATTTCAAGCCAAAGCTGTTAATATTCGGTCGCAGGTCGCAGCCTTACTTTGACTTGTCATAGCCGAATATCTCCTTGATGTATTTGGACACGTCTTTGGCGCCCCCTTCCTCGAGGGGCGTGTCATCAATGAAACCGTCATCTTCATAGTCACTCTCCTCTTCGCTCAGGAGACGGCCACGCTTGGCACGGAAGGACGGAGGAGGACCTGATGAGGGAACTAGGGAGAAGGCACAAAATACCGATTCGTACAATGTAATAAGCGCCACTGACAGGGCAGGAATGAAGCCTAGGGATATACACAAGGAAGCCTAACCGCCAAGGCCCTTTTGGCTAGGATACACCCTAAATCCTTCAAACTCTCCAACAGCTCCCATGAAAAAAATTGGATACTGCCTCAATCCTTCAAAATCTTCCAGCAATTCCTCTCATTATGTTGAGGCAGTGTGAATGGTATACTGGAGCAGTATGGAGGGTCTCACATATAATGTGGGCACGAATTTGTGCACGGCTGCACATCAAACAACACGAGGTCGAACCCACAACCTTGAGACAATGCATCCTTTGCAATGTGCTGTAGTTTAAATGTGCTGTGTTAACAATTTCTTTGGCCTTTTCTAAACTGATTAAAGGTGGATGTTGAAATGAGTGTGTGAACTTTACATGCATGAACACATGGAGGTTGTTGTGTTCTCACATGATCAAAAGCATGTTTGGGCTTTGCTTGTTAGCCAATTCTTGTTTGCACTTGGGTTGTGCTCAACTGAACTCCCAAGTTTAGAACACATAACTGCAAATTACTGACAATTCAACTGTTTTTAATTCAGTTTACTGTGTTTTGAATTAGACAAGGAAAGCAATGTAACCACAGCTGTTCTCTAAAGACACTGCTGGAGAAGATGGCAAATAGCAATGACAAACTGGGCTTGTACCTGGCCTTTTCCTGGGGACTTGGCCGCCCACTGGAGGAACTCTCCTCTCCAAGCCTGGCTGCGGCCTGCTACTGCCACCCTGGCTGCTGCCGGGGGTGGAAGCAGATGCCCTGTCAAAGAAACTGTCCAGTTTGCTCTGGCGTCGGGGTGGGGAGCGTGACGGCGGGGCGATGCGCGGCCTGTTGGCTGCGGGCTTCTTTTCAAAGTACTCCTCCACCCGACTCTGGTGCAACTTTGCCGGGCGTCCCTTCCGTTCTAGTTCTTGCTTCCCCTGTCTTGTGCAATTTGGGTTTGGAGCACCGTTCTTCCTGATGTCTGTGGTGATCGGATACCGTTTGCCAGTCCCCGCAGGAGAATGTTTTGTTTTTGCCGTGCTGGTGGCAGGTTTTGAGGTCACTGTGTCTGGTCTCTTGGTGCTAGACAGATGTACTGGTGTTTCGGCTTTGCCTGCCACTTTCCCGTTAGTTCTGTGGTGATGAGAGGTTGGACCTTCTGTTGCCGTGCCCTGCGGTTTCCTGTTGGACCCACTTCCGGATTTCACTTCCCCGCTTTTCCTTCGCTCATGTGACTCCCGTTTTCTGGCCTCTTCAAGCTTACGAGTGGCCAGTGCTTTCTTGGCGGCCATGCCATCCTGTCTGTGGTTCCTCGGCTCACTCTGCTCGGCTGGCGGCTGCGAGTCGGCTCCAGTGCCTCCCTGAGTGTGGGGCTTGTTTTCAGCGCTGCCCCCACCATTCTGCTGGTCAGCTGCCAGTGCCAGAAGTTGCTTGTAGCTCATTGGCCCCTTCTGGACAGGGGCTGGCTTCTTGGGCTTTGCCGGCCTATCGGGAGCCACTTTACTAACGGGCTCTGTTCCTTCTTTCCTTGTCCTCTCTGCAACCTTCTGGATCTTCTTCATGAAGGACTGGTGTTTCTGCTCGTGCTTCTGGTCCTCATAGCCGTGCTTCCTCTGATCACTTTCCCGCTGTCCACTAACCTTGGGTTTTTCGACACTTTTCTTGCCTTTTTTATTCGACTCAGCCCGAAGTTTCAGCAGCTGCCGTTTTTTAGCCTGTTCATCTGAAGCTTTAAACAAACACATGAAAGATGATAAAAATTCTTTACACAAATTCATATTTTTGCAGACTTAGTACATTCTCAAATTTGCTGGACTACTGTTGAAAAACCTGTGTTTACAAAACACTACAAAGTGCATACAAGTACACAAGTATCGAACCAATTGTTGAAATACTGGAACGCTAAGAAACTTATTCGGCGCATGAAAGTACTGGAGAATTTCAGTGGCCACAAAATGGGTACAGCTGGCCTGAATAGATATACATGTACAATATGGCAGTCCTACTTCTCAGTGAAGCATACCTTGCATTGTACACGTAGTCTAAATACACCAAAATTTCGCCCATACAAAAATACTTGGCCGCTGAAGTTTTTGTGGTGCATATTTTCCTAGAGTGGTCTTATTTTAACCTCCGCAACTGTTTTGGCAAAATACTTCATGATATCACATTCCTGTCTTCACCCCAGGTGTGAACCTGTGTCAAGACACCCACCTTTCTGTTGTACTTCCTGCTGCTTTCTTTCCAGTCGGGCCCGGATGGCAGCCTGGTCCACACCATTTCTCTTCTCCTTTTTGGGGGGTGGAAGCACTGTACTGTAACGCTTACGTTCATCAACCTTTCACACAAGTGGAAATGATAACAGCGAGAAAAGAAATTACAGTCAAGACCTATTGTTTTACAGATGCTCACAGATCCAAAATGCAATGGTGAACAGGATGAGAATGGGTCTGAAAATCTTTTTCCAAAGTGAGATCAATGTTTTTATTTGATATGCTTTAGGCACAGTAAAAATTAGCAACAATAAGGGATTTAGCAAATATCAGAAAGCATTAGTGGAAACAGCCCAAAGTTGCACCAGGCTTGTAAATATGAATTCAAAGTAAGCCTGTCAATAGTGTCGACGTAAGCATGGAAGTAGACAAAGATTTGCTGCAGTAAATTTTCCAAGCATCCAAAAAGACTCACTGACCATAATTAGTTGCCGCGCCAGTACAACCGCAAAAGCATATCAGGACATTGTACCAAATATCCACTGGCACTGCCTTTAAAAAAACTTGGACAAAATACTCTCTTTTTCAAAATGAGCCTCAGAGAGGTTTATAAAATCTGAGACGATGCCCACAAGAGAATACCCCGACCATTGAAAGAAATAGATCACAATTGTGGATAGTAAAAAAATCTGAAATTTGTCACAAATGTGCATTCTTTAAAACTTTCACTATTACAATTTTTCATTTTAAGTGTGAATTTAATTATAAGAGAGACAACTGTTTTTCAAAAAAGAATACTAGGGCCTACATTTAAAAAAAAATAGGAAGACAAACAGAAAGAAAAAGAAAGACAAACGTAAACCCAACCTTAAAAATAGTCCAACATGCTAACAAATTTTAAAAATGAGCAAAATGAAAAGGGCAGAGTTCCATTTATGGACAACACCAGTTTATCCTTAAAATATTATTATAACCATAACCAATTACAGTGTCAGAAGGTGATAAAAATGTCCTAAATTGAAATATAGCTTGGAAAATTCTTAAGCATTTCCTTAGAAAATTAGAAATGCCACTATGCCAGTTTGTACATACAGATTCTCACACAATTTCTGTTCCTTTTTTTAGTTTTACATTGTAATTACGTTTTTACACGTAGGCACACATTGAGCTACGTCATGACATTCACATGTACCGTACGTACATATACATGTACAGTAGTACACGTCCTGTCTGCCCGTGCGCGAAACAGTACTACATGAATCAGAATCAAACATCAGCAGTGACAAAAATTGAAGTAAAAAAAGTACCTCTTTTTGTGCCCTTTCATTGTTTCTAGCAGCAATGCTAAGTAACTTTTGGAAATCCATGACCACTCAGAAGTAGATGTCGCCAAAAAGAAGAAAATCCGTCTCCGGCTTTTGTTAAAAAATCCCGAATTTCAGCCTCTTTCGCCACAACCCAGCCTGTTCCCTGCCTTCGAAGCAAATCATGATGTTTTGTGTCGAAGTTCATTGCCCTTTGACCCGTTTTTACTCATTCGGTATTTTTCGGAGTGGATCGGCCTTGATTTCCATATCCCAGGATTCATGGGTAATCTTTAAAAAGAGGCGCGTCAAGATGGCGGATGCGTCTGCCTTGGAAAGTAAGCAATAATTCCATCGATTTTGAGTTCACTCTTTGCCATTGTCAAGTTGCTTTTCTCATTGAAACTTTACGGAGAAAATTGGGAATTTTTTATGCACTTGTATGATATCTTAAACAATGATTCATTGGCTTTTTTTGGTGTGAAAAGGGCAGTCAAAATTGTCCGGCTAACTGCGCAAGCCGTCGCACGGCAGCAGTGTAGTGGCTGTGACTGAGTGTGCCGTCTGCGTGCGCGTGTGCTCCGCCGTACGTGCACAGTTCAACCATGGTTCAACAGTCCTGCTGTGCTGACTGCCTTGCTGGTGCATGCGTAGTTCCCACAGTCGCCCAGTCTGTCATTTTCAGACGGGCTGGATTGTAAAATATTGAAATTTAGAATATTGATCCATCCATGTCAAAATAGGCCTAGGCGCCATTGGCCTAAAAAATGTGAACTAGGCCTGAGTGGTGATGTTGTTACTTCATACTTGCCCCCCATTTGATCATTTAAATTTCATAATTTGTTTCATCATTGACATGTTCATTGAACTTGCCAAACTCTGATGAAGACTTAGCAGCTGGTTTCAGTTTCATACTTACTCAGCCATGTCAGTGGGATGCAGGATGCATCATTTTAGAACAGGGAGATACCAAAAACCTCCCTTGTGATACTTTATTACAGAATTTGTAAAAAACAACTTTCCAGTGCCCAGTTTCGTCTAGCATGTCGCGTTACGTTAGAGATGTTGACCAAGAGTTCCATATACAGGCAACACTAATTTTCCCTTAAAATGTTATAACAGCCATCAAAAAGTGACAGGGGGCCTATGTCAATAAAAAGTTAAATTTATCTTGGAAAATTCTGAAACATTTACTTAGAAAACCCTTTTTTTTCAGACAAGTCTCTTACAGGTGTAGGTTTTTGCACAGGGGCATCAGGTGTTGTCCCTACAGAGCAAAAATCTCCCAAGTGTCCAACTTTTTAAGTGACGTCTTTCATGTCTTTTCAACATGTCAATTACAAAAATACAGTTTACTGACACTTTGTTTCTTGTGAATTAATTTACATTTAGTTCTCTTAGTATTAGAGCAGTAGTATCTTTATTACTCTTGGCCTTGCCTTGCATACAGTGATACCAACCAAGCGTATTTATGAAGTGTCTTACAAGCACATAAATTGGAACATGTATGCGTTAGATGTGTTTCTCAAAGAGTGCCTAGCACAAGTTTACTGCCAAATGGATAAGTCAGTAGGCCAGTATGAAAGCAGGGAGGAAGGACGCAGCATGGTCACTAAAGGAGTTTGAACTAACTAGGCTAGAACATCAGGCTTTCTGACATGCCCTTTATGTCCATAGCTAGAGCGCAGCGAGTGCTTGAATGATGTGTACCTCATCTGTTTCACAAAAATGAAACCCCTTTGTACCCTATGATCGTCGCCACAGTTCTTCTCTGGTCATCCGCATTTCTAAATCTTTGTGTCCTGAAGTGTACGAAATTGAATATCCATGTCTTCGTTGCTGCTCGGTACAATATCAAATTTAATGCTTGTGTTAAGACGTGTGCCCTAAATGTTCATCTGCATTCGGTGCCCTTCTGGAGTTATTTTGGGAATAAAGAGCCTTAGTTGTTTGTAAGATTTTGCTTTTTTTTTTTAAATCATTTTTCTTATGGCATTTATACAAAAAAGTATTTTATGAAATCTCATGATCACTCCTTGTGATGAAATAGCACATTTTATGAACTAAGCTTTCCAGTGTTGAACATTGCCAGTCTCAGCCACGTTCGTACCAAGTCTTTGAAAAGTGATGTTTGGAGGGGCAAAACTAAAATTACAAACTTTGCATGAATAATGGAACAGTGTTGAATATAAAAGTTTATTCGTAACAAAAGTAGGTCTAACCTTAGGGATTTTTCTCTGTCTGTTTCCTGGTCACAGCAATAAGTTGTAGTTAATTTCAAGCAAAACACCACTTGTATCGCAAGGATATTGCTGGCCTAGGGGGTTGACCAAATTGGAATACGTGTACCTCGAGCGGGCCCTCTATAAAAGATGGATGGGCTATGCAGTCACTGCCCACATTGATTTCCCCTGCACAAGCGGTCGCCACTTAGCAAATGAAGCACTTGTTGATGCCTACGTATACGGCATCACAGAAAAGCAAAGATGATGCTCTCAGCTGGAAGGCCTCTGTGTTAAAAAAAACATGGATGTGGATATAGATGAATTTGGGGGAAAAAAGGGTCCTCCACTCTCCAAATTAGAGAAAGCCTAGAATCCTACCTCGTCATTGCTGTTAGTACCTTTTTTGTCGACACGCCAAGACTGTGATCTTTTTTGTTTCAGATTCCTCTGTGGAGGCTCTGATGAGCCTTCGCAGTGCCGGTAGGAACCGACCCTCGCCCATCAGCAACCCTGTGCCCACACCCCCTAGGAGGGGAAATGTAAGTGCCCGAGCTGTCAGTGATTTTGTTCCCCTCTTTATTTGGAGGGAGACAATCTGTCCTGTGATTTTCCACAGCTGAAACTGGGAAGTGAAAAAGGTTTGCTGAGAAGAGAATGTGCTTAATCATGAACTGAATTTGGGAGACTATTGAATGCACATATTCCCACTAAACCCTGGATGTAGGTAATTGGAAAAGGATTTACGAGTTCTTGATTTTCCTGTTACGGAGCTCTTGATATGATTTGTAATGTATACAGAGCTTTTCATTAAAGCACATAGAAAGACTGTGAGGATCTAATTTGACCCTCTGGAAGGAACATGGAAGTCAATGGTGCTTATTAGAACATGAGCTTTTCAGGTTCAGGGGAATAGTACATGAACAAGATATAAAAAAAGCATTTAACCTGAAAAACAATACCTGTATTTGTATTAATATCCTGCAGCCCCTTTAGACGCAATCAGTACCCTCTACCGACGAGCCGTGTCCTTACGATGACATCGGCATGAGGGTGCATACAGACTACTTGGTACATTTTGACCAAACAACAGATCACTGGAGGTTCCAAACAAGTGAATGTTGCTGACAAAAGGAAGTGTAGCCTTTTGGGCATTTTGCACTCAGAAAAATAAGTTATTTTTCTTGGTCCCTCCTTCCCTTTGCTAGTGAGGGGGACATGTGAATGTAGAAAATGTCTGTCCTTGAAGTTGGTTTTTAACCTTCATGTTTGTGCCATTTCAGTCAACCTACTTATTTTGCCTCAACACAGCCACCAAGAATTCGGAAGCGCAACCGACTCATCTTCAACGATGACGAAGACACATCCATGTCCCCTATCAGATCCTCCCCCAAGAGAAACAGGACGACACCCACAAACTCGGTGAGTCATTTAGCAATTCATAGGTTATTCATGGGCCCTTGCTGCATCTCTGGTATTTTTCTAATCTTGTCCAAGTGCATACTTAGACTTTCAAGAAGGGTCTGTCCCAAGGAGAGAAATAGTCACTTGCTGAGCAGCCTGGTGCACTGCTGGTTGCACTGTGTCAATGCTGATGTCGGCACAGTGCACTCTAAGTTGTGTCAGAGTCCGCTGTTTTCTTAGAATCCACTAGGTTCTCATTTCAGCCGCCATAGGTAAAGAGATTTTCATGTGACTTTACATGACAGGCAAAGGCCTTTCAGGAAGCGTACCACGACCTTGGAAGTGCCTTCATATTGCGATTCTGTGTATTTCTGTTGGCAATTTTATGCATACCAGAATGTTGAGAGACTTTGAAGGTGTACACATTTCCGCACACATCTGTGTAAATTGAACACTGACCGTCAAAATCACGTAACAGAAAACCCTCTATGGTTGCATTGAATAGCAAGGTGCCCTGAAAACAAAACAGATATGAAAAACCAGATGGGTGTTAGTGTGAGCATTAGAATACTTTCAAATTTTATAATTGGTCTTTGAATTTACGTTTACATTAAATTGAAATGTATTCAGGCCTCTCAAGGTACTTGTCATAGCCCTAGTCTGAACCCAATTTTTTTTTTCTTCTGTACAGCCTGCCAAATCTCAGCACTCCCGGGACCACCCCAAGTCTCACTCAGTTCCCTCCACGCCCCAGAAGATTTCTTCCTCGGCTCTCCAGAACCTGATCCTGAGCACGCCGGCCAAGAAGTCCGCCCAGAAGATGGGCTGCAGGCTCAAGAACCTCCTCAAGTTGCCCAAGGCCTACAAGTGGTGCATCTACGAGTGGTTCTACTCCAACATAGACAAGTCAGTTGACATGGCAGGCCGAAATTCAACCCTTTGGTTATGCCGGCTTGAACGGCTAAGTCTGCATTACTTGGCTTATGGCTGACAAGAACACATGGGCCTGTGGGCAAGCTGCCACCTTGTAGCTGAATCCATTTCACATAGGAATGTGTTATGGCTAGCCATAGCCAAGCGATTTGGGCTGAAAAACCTAGTACTGCCAGCAGCCACATTTGGCGTTGCATCTGAACTTTGTTTAAGGCCACAGAATGAACCATTGGTTTGCTGTTTGCATGGTGAAGTTCCTATTTAATATGCCGTAAAGTTTTAAACCTGTTGTAACAGTTAATGATGCAAACACATTGCCAGTTTGATCGAATATTCAAACATTTGATCGTACCAATTTACCAAAAAGCAGAATGAAATATTTACATGTGTCTACATGCAGCCCACAAAAGAAGAATTTGAAACAAAAAAAATGTTTTGCCTCATGGTTGGGCATATGCTTTAAGTTTACTCATAATATTTGTTTGAAATAAATTTTTAGAGTGGAGTTTAATAACCCCCAAAATGAAGCTATTCCTTTTTTTGTTTTCATGATTTTCACCAACAATTACCTGATTTTGAAAATTAATAGTTGGTTATCCAATAATTGATTGAATATCCAAGTATTGAATAATCGACACAGCCCTAGGGGGTTTGTGTCCAAGATCTCTAATTTTCTAAAGTAGTACAGGCACTGTAGGAGGTTGGCAATAACCACCTCTTGTTGCAAGAATCAAAGAACAAGCAAAGTCATTTATTTATTGTTTGGTTTTGTTTTCTCCCGCCTCAGGGCGTTATTCAGCGGTGAGAATGACTTTCTCATCTGCCTGAGGGAGTCCTTCCCCCAGCTCAAGTGTCGGAAGCTGACGAGGGTGGAGTGGTGCATCATTCGCAGGCTGATGGGCAAGCCGAGAAGGTGGGTCCAAGAGAGGGCTCTTTATCACTGTCAACACAGTCCTTGTAGGTCTGCCAATGATGCCTGTCTGTGTCAGTAGACTGATTGTGCCCATTATTAAGTCACGTGACCCGTAGTTGATATCAAACATCACAAACATGGCGTCCTCCCATAACTGTTTACCAAACCATAAAGCCAATTTTGGGTATAGTACTCAGCACATCAGTTGTCTGAGCACTGTACTGACCGTCGGCTTGATTTTTTTGGTTAGTAAACTTAAAATACCATTTGGTATGGGAGGACGCCATGTTTGTCAGTGTCTGATACCCACCGTAGGTCACATACATGTAGGTCTCTTGACCTGGCAGGCGCAATCGGTCTTTTTGATGAAGCGCCCTCTTTTTATGAGAGTTTCAGTTTTAAAATGATCTCATAGTTTCACTGGTGCGGCTGTACTATCAGGTTCCCGTAATATCTAGTTTTTATTAAGCAGGTGCATTGGATTAATTTTGAATGTGCTCATAGTAGAATCTGAAACATTTTCATTGATTGGTCTCACAGATGGCAGAATTTGTTTGATTAAGGAAGGAGTGAGGTAATAACAGTGACAGGCAGTTATTACTTTGTAGCATTTGGCCACAGTTGTTAATTAAAGCAATCCTCAGCCAACCTGAACCAAACACGGTTTCCTTGTGAGGCAGTTAGCTCCACTTGCAGGCAGGCAGGTCTGTACACACCTGTACACATCACAGTGCCTTCAATTTCACTAAATGCCAAATGTACTGGTGCGGCTGTATTATTGGCTTCCCGTAATATGTGACCCACTCTGCAAAAATGAGTCTTAAGTTGCCAAAGCCACTTTGTGAGTTTTCGTTTGTAACGTTTGGAAAGAGCAAATTGAGTTTTTTGTTTTGATGTAACACTCAGTTTGTCATCCTGACGGAAGTGGATACTCCGCCGTGGGTTCCTATTGATTTACACTGTGCAAAATTTTTTGAAAGGACTTTTTACTCCAAAGTGGCTCTGGCGACTTAAGACTCATTTTCACAGAGTGGTCACGTATTCAGTCTCTACTAAAGCAGGAGCATTGGATTTTGGATGGTGAACACCCTTGCTCTTTCGTTTGTCAGGTGTTCTCCGGCATTCTTTGCGGAGGAGCGGGCGGCGTTGGACACCAAGCGGCGCCGCCTGAGACTGCTGCAGCAGAGGAAGTCCAGCGAGCTGGACACCAGCGACATCAAAGATCTTCCCCAAGAAATACCTCTACCCCTGGTCATCGGAACAAAAGTTACCGGTGGGTTTTTCTAACTACAGTAAACTCTTGATAACTCAAAGTTGATTAACTTGAAACTCCGCTTATCTCCAAGACATTCTTCATTCCTACCAAAAAACATAGGCTTTTACGCACAAAAAAATACCTCCATAACTCAAAATGCCCACACCGCGTGCACCACATTTTGAAATGCAACATGGTGCACCGTTAAGCAATTAAAATGGAATGATCATCTGGCCAAACAGGAAAACCCCGGACCTGGCCCCGGCCACATGAGCAAGCACTGGGCTGGACTGAACAAAAGGACTTTCACAAAAAAGTACCCAGTTATGGTGGTTTATGTTTCCTTAATCAGTAGAACAGAAATTTTACATAAGAAAAATCATTAAATCTCAGCAGAATAATTTTGGGAAGAAATTTAATCTTGGATATAAGGAATAACCATTTAAAGCATCTCCAGCAGCCGCTTCTGGGGCAAGTAGAGTTGCTTATGCATTGTGAGTGTCTGTGTGGGAAAGACTCAGGAACTTTCGTTAGCTCAAAATCCAGATAACTCGAATTTTTTATCCATTCCCCTGAGGTTTAATTTATCAAGGGTTTACTGTAGCTGTAAGCACGGGAAAGTGACAGAACTTGGATACACGAGTATCTAGGGCACAAGTTGTTCTTCCTGAGAGCAGCAAGAATATGTCCAGTTTTCCTGAAGTAGAATGTTTTGTTGTAAATCTAAAATGTGCCCACTACACGCTAGTTTATAGGAACATCCTGCCAAGTTTTGAGAGTAAGTGGAGGAATAACTCACCAGAGGATGACGTGACATTGGAAAAAAAAAAACTTTCAGGCGTATTAAAAATCTCTCTGGGTCACTGATAGACAGGACATACTCATGAGGAATTTGAATCTTATATTTCAGCTCGTTTAAGGTACCCCCACGACGGGCTTTTCACCGGGCAGATTGATGCCATCAACACGCAGAATGCCACGTACCGGGTGACCTTTGACCGGCACGGCCTGGGAACCCACACTATTCCAGACACAGAAGTCTTAGTAAGTCTGTTATCTTCTTTTGCTTCTTGTCAGTGTGTATGGGTTTTTTTGGGGGGGGGGCATTAAGTGTCTCGGGCTTTATTTACTTCAACTCTTCCAAAACCCCAACAGCAGCTTTCACTGTGTTTTTATGCATCATCTTAAGGTATGTTCATTCATCAGTGTTGTTAAAATTCCTGATGTGTGATATTTCTGTAATGAGTAATTTTTTTCCAACGGTTTTGAACAGTATTCTTCAAGTGATTTAAGTTGCAATTTAAACCACAGTTGATTTCAATGAAACAATGCTGTTTAGCCCAGCTTGATGCCTGATGTTTGATAGCTGTCTTTGGTGGAAGTTAAAATGTGTCCTCATCCACCAGTGCACTGTAGTGGACTGTGAAGGATTCAGGATAACCTAGTTAAGTGGTTAGGGTTAACTTAAGCAGTGTCCGAATTATTTGGCTACGGCTTGATATTGAACACTAAGCAATGGCTAGTGGCTTCCGCCAGTATGGTGGACGCATCTGTGATTTGAAGCTGCAGCCAGCTGATCTGGACACAGCCCTACATTTCTTCCTGTCATTTTTTTTTTCAATACAAGGGAACTGAGCCGCAAGACACCATGCCACTATCTGCCTTCCTGAATAAGCAAAGACCCAGGCCCAGCCTGTTCTCACCACAGAGGTACGTTTACAGTTTAGATTGGCACAATTCAAAAGGCAACTTTATTGTTCTGCATGTTGATTCTCTTTTTATAGTCCAGTTGAAAATTTTTTTTTTTCAAAATCAGTGAAATGTTTTTATCAACTAGAGAACCTGTCATAAGTAATGAACAGTTCCTGACATTATTGGCTGATAAGCTATTTTGTTTAGCAGATTTCTCCTTGCTTAGCCAATTTCTGTGTTTTCAGCAGAGTTGTGGAATCTTCCCCTGGGGCTAAGGTCTCCGATCTGTCCGTAATTTGATGGGGGAAAAAAACTGATTATCTGTCTATGATCACAGGATTACGCTGGATGGTCTCCATTCTCCCAACTTGGACAACGACCCAATGCTGGGTATGTCACCTCTCCGGGGGAAACTTCAAGGGGACGAGAAGACATTAGGGGGATTCCCTGTCAAATTCCTGGTTCTTGTGGTAAGGTGTTCGCTTCCTGCTATAACTCTACCTGTGTGGTGACGTTGTACATATTTTACATTTTGTACATGTGTCACACTATGAAAGCTTTACACCGAAGTCTCGTTGATTCCAGTGACTTTTTTTCAACATGGATTCACAGGACTTTGAAATCATCAAAAGTCGATCCAGTTCCTCCGACTAGTGCTTTATTTTGAGTTTAACAAATATAAATGCAGCTGTTCAGACCTGCAGACAGCAGACTGCTATATGACTACCCAGAAAAGTTTCAGTGAGTCTGGTAGACTGTGTGCACACACTGTTTCATGACTGTCCTGTTTGGACGAGGCACAGTGTATTTTGGTTTCAATGTTTTCAAGGCCAGGTGTGCCGTTTAACGGTGGCACTCAGCCATCTGTCAATTTAATAGACGTATTGTGCCCATTAAGTCTCATGACCTATAATGGGTATCAAACATCCGCAAACATTGCGTCCTCTCATAGCAAAGTGTGTCATAAATGTCATTTACCGGAAATAAGACTGACTGTCGGTAAAGTACTCAGACTACTGATGCGCTGAGCACTATACCCAAAAACAGCATTAGTTTTGGTAAACAACACTTACAACACTTTTCTATGGAAGGACGCAATGTTTGTTGATGTTTCATACCCACTACAGGTCACGTGACTTAGCTTGTGCAATTGGTCTATTGTTGTTGTGTAAAGGGGCATTTTCATACAACATCCTTTGCTGGCATTGTCCCAGATTTCCGATTTCTTTTCTTGTGGCCCTTGTCAGATGCTGTGAGTTTCTTAAGTTCCGACTAGCTGCAGATTAAGTACAAGCTCTTGTTTCTTGACACATGAACAAATGCTGCCAATCTGCAGAAGCGGCCCTCAAGGAGGGCGCAACGTTTTCCAAGGTTCAAGTGCCTGATATGCATCGCCCTATTGACACGCTTTGCTTCAACTATCTGTCTATTCAGACCAGGTTATCAAAGATACTCGGCATCAAGAAGGACCTCTTGCAAGAACTGAAAGACATGAACACAAACGCCGAGAGGATGGTAAGCTCAAACCAGACCGTGAACTGGTCACGACTTGCTCAAACTGGTATCACTATTTCTTCGTCTTTCTTCTGCTACACTGCTGAAATTGTTATTGATTTTGATTTGACGGCTTTAACAAAACGTGATCTGGTTTGACCTTCAAATACCTGGGTTTCTCAGACTCTCCCTCCCCCCCAGGATCTAGGCTGTCCCATGCCTGAACTTTTTGTAAACTTTACATGCATGCAAGGGTATTTATTTTGAGTGGATATCGGAAGTTTAAATTCAGCCTGTCAAACTGTTTTGTTAAGGGTTTGTCATAGTTCATACCTTTATGCATGTCGGCCCCTGCATGCGTCAAGCACATGCGAAAGAGAAACATTAACTTTTTGGGCCGACCTGTCTCAGAAAAAGTGGCACCTGTGGAAAACGGTGCTTAAATAATTGTAAGACATGACTCGGGAAAAACTCTGCAGACTCTGCACCACAGGTGCCCCCCAACTCCGCTCTTGTAGGGTATACCTATTTTGAACTGTGGTTCATTTGCAAACGATGTTCACAATGTGCTTGCAAGTCACAAAACTGTTCGTAAGTCATTTTTACAAGTGTTGTTAGTCTAAGTTCAAAGCCTAAAATTCTCCCAGCGTTTGCTTCAGATATACTAATCAAAACAAGTTTAAGGAACACTTTCTATTTTGTGTATACTCTTTTATATGAGATATTTTACTGCTGAAAATGTGCATTTGATGTTTTGAAACATTTTTAAAATTTTTTATTTCAATGAGTACATCATCGAGACAAACAAAAAATGAAAGAACCAGACCCCACTCATTGCTTTGAAAAAAATTACAAGTTAAGAAAGGAGCGGTCCTTAACTTTTTTTGAGTAGTGTATATGTCTTTCATCAGCTTTGATTTCCCAAGTACCGCAGCAGTTAATTTATTTTGCCCAGTTGATTTAAACTCCAACAGGGCTGTATCCTCCAATTTCAGGATGCTTTTACACACACCCTAGGAAGTTAGGGTGATTGTTTTTTAACAAATAGTGGTTGACTGTTATTCCTGTATCTGTGTGCATGTGTGTCCACCCTTTTTTCTCCCTGAACAGCAATCCTTGAACCAAAGTTCAGGGTTGGACTTCAAGGAGAAATATGCAAAGTGCGTGCTGCAGTTGGAGAAGCTGAACGACGCCCTCAACAGGCACCTAAACGATGTCCAAAAATATTGCCAAGAGGTAAGAAGATGTAGAATACAGGTTATTCGTAGGTGGAGGGTATCTTCGTTCTCCTTCCATTTGAAGAGCAGCTTAGAGTTTCCGATCTGGGCTAGACAGCCAGGTCAGTGCTGCGTCTGTAACCTCATAGTGTTCGCCCAAGACGCTAGTGCCTGGTAACAAAGCATGCATAGTGATTCCTCGAACGGCTCCACGAGTAGACTAGTTCATAAACGTCTTGGGAATCTTGTTGGGGCGGTTGAATTTTTTTCCTTATTTTGTCTGTAGGTTTTCCTAGGGAACCAATCAGGCATCACAAAATGGTTTATTGTCAGTAGCGCAATGGTTGTGAAAGTGCACACTTCTTTTGCAGAATTGAACTGTGAAGAGCGATGATCAAGCATGGTAATTTGGTATGCAGTGCAGTGATGTCCCCCGTGCATTACTACTGGTACCAAATGACAAGCAGTCATTTGTTCAAAGATATTAATCTGTACATCAACAGTCTAATTTGAAAAGAATAGTTATATCCTCATTGCAAGAATCCCAAGATGTTAGTACGAGCATGGTGTTAGAAAGAAAACAAAAATCCCAGTTTACAACAAATGCAGCCATTAGCACTGATCACGGACATCTTGGGCCAAGACAGGTGACTTCATGAATTGCCTTTAGTTCCCCGGGGGAAGCACCTAAGAGTGGAGGTTACACAGGTTCCATTGAAGGCAGCGGTGTATAACAAGTGGAAGCATAATTATGAGTGAGATTAAAGGAAAATGACTCCCTGGTAAGAGATTATGAAGTAGGGCGGAGCACAGCACCCAAAGTGGTTCGTGAAAGCAGCTGCCTGAACATGAATGTTTGGGTTTTACAACTGATACTATAAGCAGTGGAAGCCAATTTTGATTCAAACTACGAAGAGTTTGTAGGGGTCTATAACCTTGTAGGAAGGAACATATTTTTTTGTGAGTTCAAAATGGTTGGATAGACTGAGCCCTTTTGGCCTCAGCAGTAGATGTATTGACCCGTGTAATTTTTAACGGAGGGTGGGTGCATCCACCAACTCTTTGAATTTCAAGAACGGGGGGTGGGGAAACTTTGCATTGTTTAATTGGCAAATTGTACACTCATTGTGCTGCTGTCTGAAATGGAGCACACCAAAGATGTAGTTTGGATTCTGTACTTGAGCAGACCTTCTTTTTAATGGAGAGATGATCTCTCCTGGGGAGTCAGGCATGAAGCCTGCAGCAGCTGTTTTCCTTCAAATCTGTAGTGTCTTTGCTTGGGCACTCATGTCATGGTGCGGTGGTGCCCATCTGCATGGAGAAGATAACCGATTCGCCAAGATTTGCCACACGGAGCAAGAATGAAGGTGTACCGGCTGACAAGTGTACTGGCATGGATTGACCAAAAGGTCTTTCTCAAATGGCGTCGCCTCCTACAGATTGCCACATGCAGCGGCTTTGTGGATGTCAAATTTTCGTGGCGTGCATTAGACACGCTGTATTTCAAAGATTTTTGTATCAACACGTGTGCAAGTATAGAACATTTCCGGGCAAGGGAACCCAGTGAAGTTAAGTATGCATTTGCTTTAAAATAATGGTGTCCTGTGAGAGATGAGTATTTGTATTGGGGTGGGACGGAAAGTTTGCGTAGGGCCATACACATTATTTAAACAAAAATACTAAAAAAAGACCTCTTACCACTGATACTTGTGCAGTTTTGCTGACAAGGATAATTTGCCAGCTGTGACAATTTACCAAAGAAAATGATTGGCCAGCAAGGACAATTGGCCAGCAAGGATAATTTTGCAGACAGGGATCATTTGCAAACTGGGATATTTGCCAACAGGGAAGTTTTACTAACGGGGATCATTTGCTCACTGGGATCATTTGCCAGCAGGGGTCATTTGCAAACAGGGATCATTTGTAGACAGGGATCATTTGCCAGCAGGGGTCATTTGCCAACAGGGATCATTTGCAAACAGGTATCATTTGTAGACAGGGATCATTTGCCAGCAGGGGTCATTTGCCAACAGGGATCATTTGCAAACAGGGATCATTTGTAGACAGGGATCATTTGTAGACAGGGATCATTAGCCAGTA